TTCTTTACAGCCAGTCTACCAAAGGTCCAGATAAGCCAACGTTAGAATAATGAAAATTAACTTACTTGGACTTGAGTTCCGGGTCAACTCCCTTCTTGTTGTACTCCTCGGCCGTCCTCTGCAGTACGTCTTTCTCCCTTTTCTTCAGTTTTCCCATCATTTGAGTCACGACCCGCTCCCGAAAATCAAAATGAGTGGGATCTCCCCCTTTAGGCCTCTTTTGTCCCTCTTCAATGGCTTTGGCACAAAGCCTTTTCGCTTCGGTATCGATGGCATCCTTGTTCTCATGCTGGAACACATGCCGGGCATGCCACGACTTTCCCATCCTCGGCATTTTCTGACTTCTCTTACGACTGTACCGGGCAAACCACTCTTTAATATCCTACAAGTCCGTCAGGAATCAATTAGAGGGCCCCTGGAAAAAGTACTTACTTTTTTAACAGCTGATCTTTCTTCCTTCTTGAACGATTTTCCATTGGGGAGTATGTCGAGCATGTCTTGCAAAACTCGAGAAAATATCTCAGCACGAGCAGCGTCGTTGGCGTCTCTGTACTCCTGCCGATGTTTTTCCAATAGAGCACTTTCTTCATCAGTCCAATGCCTCCCGGACCCATGGTGCTTGGTTTGACTGGAAAGTGGGGCAGATGGTTCAGGGGATTGAGAATGAGTACTCATAATGATATAATTAATGGTATTTGGGAGCAAAGAGGTAGATGGAAAATGGTAGTCGGGAGCAGAGAGGGAGAACAACTCATGCCAAATACAATGAACAAACAATCACCCCTGATTCGGGAAAGGGAATTACTTTATATATCATCTATCAAAAATATACATAACTGATTGGCACGGAAGATCGAACACGAAACGGAAAAGAACAGACCTTAATCACCTTGCTTGTCAAGGTCTCCCAGGGTCATAAATACCAAACAGGTACAAACAAACTACCCAGCGGCCATGGGGGTCTTTTCTTGCATATCGCGCACGCGAGCAAGCAAGCATGAACAAACAAACTTTCCAGGGGCCATGGGGCTCTTTTCTTGCATATCGTGCACGCGAGCGGGCAAGCATGTACAAACTTTCTACGGATGCATATGGTGCACGCGAGCGAGCAAACCGGTGCAAACAATTGGTCTTTTCAAAACATGATATCGTCGTCTCTTTCTTAGCGCCAGCTCCAATGTTTATATACATAACTATGTAGCGCTATAGCTCTTGAACACTGTTTCCTTTGTTACGAAAAAAAAGTCACATCGTATTGGTGCAAAGCAGTGTATTTGTCAGCAAGCAAGGTGCCTGCTGCCACTGCTAAGTGTCAGCCTCTAGTAACCTTAAATAGCTTAAATAGCGGAACAGTTATGATCACATCACAGGACAAAACCTTAATTAGCTTCCTCTGTAATTATGTCTGTCTGTAATTATCGTCGGTCCATCTAAGTAACTAAACTGGTAACGCAGTTATGGTGGTATATATTGAAGGTACCTTTATACCAATGTATGATGAGGCTGTCAGCGACATACAGATCTTGATATTTTGCAGTCATATTGAAGGTGATAAAAATTAAAAGTTCACAAGAAGCCGCCGTTAAAGAGTATGCAAAGTGTATGAAATATGAGATTGTGTTTCTAATTGACTATTATCCAGTCCTGCTGGCCGGCTTTTATGGCTTGGGTGTGTGCTCATCCCAGTCTTACTGCCAACTTTTTATTTTACGTAGCTGGAAATGCAAATCTGTTATGAATGTTTGCGTTTGCTATTCGACGGCCACATTTTCCTCTTTCCTGCTACGCCCACATTTTCCTCGTTCCCACTACACATCATCATTATATCCTTTGGCCATTTCAACAGTAGACAAACATGGGAAGAAAAGCACACAGCAACATCGCTAATCCTCACTTCAACAGGCTTGTTATCAAAAATGGAAGGAGGTCTTTTCCCTCCTCCACTATTCCCTCTCTGCCAT